ATGTAAATAATTTTAGTGAAACTATATGTAAAACTGTAGTAGCTCTTGTGTAATGTAATATGAAGTGTTTCAAAAAACAAAGCTTCACCGGAAAAAATAAGATTACAGGAACAAGTCATATAACATTGAGAAAATGGCGATATAGTGCCAAGGTGGCGATGGCTTTGGCGACTAATTATTGTTGCCAGATTTGGCGAAAAATTGCCAAAAGTCGCCAGACAGCGACATCCTGTATAACTATAATTGGTCCGATCCCTATATGTAACTATATGTAACCCCTATATGTAACCTCTACGTGTCCCCCATATCAATGTCCAGCAATCACATGTTATTCCCATCTTATGGCCCCTCGTTTGTAAACACACCCCACAATGTACAGTATATGTGATCAATGAGGCCAAATATGTATCTGACATGTGGTATACGTGTATTATTATTTTTTTAACTGTGCTTTATTTGTCATAAGTCTTCAGTGTTAATCAAGTGTAATCCCCCTCCCCCTTTTTCCCCTCGGCGTGTGTGTTTCTGTACATTTTTCATGTTTTTGTTGTTTTCTACATTTAGTAACCTAGCTCTGAGCCCCTCACCTGTAAATCCGTCCCACAAGTCTCATACCTGTAATTATGTAATTAGTCAAGCAATGTTAATAAGTCGCCCCTGTTTGTCCATGTAAACTCCTGCACCCTTTAATAAGCTTCCGGTGGGGACTCTTGAGGCCACAGGGAGTTGTTGCCATTAGATAGTGGAAGGCGAGGGACACATGCCTGTTTATCTCTGGTAGCCACCAGGCGTCCCCGTCTTCCGTCACCTACCTACCTACCTACCTACCTACCTACCTATATGTAACTGTAACTGTATCTGGCCCTATGCAACTGCATATGGCTCCCAGCAATTTCGAGGAAGGGAGGTAAAATTTCTCGGCTTCCCACGAAAAACTGTATAAAACCGGAGAGGCTTCACTTCTCAGTTTTTATCTCAGAGTTGACTGAAGTATATTGAAAGATTTCCGTGCAAGCTTCGCTCTTTAAAAGCGTTTTGCATTGCGTTGTGTTCAACGTCCTTAGTAGTTTGAAGTGGTAACTACTGATTTTGCTTTGTTGTTATGAGAAGAGCTGTGCGAGTACTTTTCCAGAAATGTAATGTTTGTTTTGTGAAAATAAATTTTGTCAAACTATCATCAATTCTGTGTGCATCCATTCTGTTACGAATCCGTACGCACGTAAAAATACCAAGTATGATTATACACAATATCCCAAACAAAGATACACCCATAAGAGAAAAATGCGTATAATTTAATATAAGCCATACAATGAAGGCATGTAATCTACGCCTTTAAAAAAAAAAAAAAAAAAACCTCACCAAACGGCCGTTATCTCAGAAAGGCTATTTTCGAAACAGCATTTTGCGTCGAATCACTGGAAAGAAGCATTGACTCACTTTTCAGATTGTTGCGACTAAATATTATCGCCCTGTATTATATTTAAAGAAATTAATAACGAAGAATGCGCCTGAATGCATGTATGTTTCTCGCATTCTGAAAAAATAACGGTACCTAGAGCCATCAAATTCTGAATAACGTAATCCTCCACCCAAATATGGGCACTTGGAAGCCCGAATCTTGAATTTCAAATTTGCTTTATTATCTATTTCATATTTTTTTAAAACTTCAACGAATTTTTGATTAAAAAACTCAACGAATTCAAAGCGAGCAGTGGTAACACCGTACGGAATAAAACATTTTTATCTCCAGCGCACGAGACTGTCTATCGGAAATTCTAAAGATATGCTGTTTTAAATATTTTTAGCCCAAATGCTCTTGAAACGTGTATGTGTTTATAAATGAATTATAAATGAAAAAAGCTCCTTTTGGGCGTTATATAAAATCTGAGCGGTTTCAGCCCCCCTTCCAATCCATCCAGCTATAATTCGGGAACGTGGTATCTGCTAATATCTCTTTCGGCTGCTCCTTGACAAAAACCAAGGGATTATGAACTTTTTATTTCTTTATTGTTTCACTTTTTATAAATTTACTTCCGTTTCAAGTTTGATTTGCAAGTTTATGGATTTTTTGCGGGGGCAAGTTTATGGGTTTTTTTATGTAAGTTAGATGTCCATTTTTGATAGACATATAGTTTATGTATTTTATTATATATACTATATTGTATCTCCATATGTACAAGCAAGAATTGAACAGTTGTGAAAACAAAAGCTAGTTAAGTTAAAATTAGAGATCTAGAAAGAATTCTTTTTTTTTTTTTTTTTTTTTTTTTTTCCACTTGCAAGGTTTTACAACTGAACAGCTGTCATTTGCTTGTTTCTAAAGACAATGCTGCTAATTGTATTTACTATACTTCTATTATGTTTTGTTTTTATGAGTGATAGGAAGCAAAATGCGATACGAAATGCTAAATTTAGATGATTAATTTAGCCGTATTGAAGCAAGCAGAGTAAATCGAATCGTTTTTTACGTTATGCCCTTGAAGGTGTCTTAAAGGTTCGCTGTTAGCAGGAAAAATCATATGAGAATTGTTGCTGTTTTTCAAGTAGTAACAATAATATGCATTAAATAAAGCCTTTAAGTATAGTTTTATGTTTGATAAAAATACATATCGTATCTTTATCTTTATAGAACAACACTTAACAATCCCAGAAGAAAATTTGGATTTCTGATCGAAGTTCAAAAAGACGATTTAAAACTTTGCCTCTGGATAACCATCTTACACTTTAAAATGTAAACTAAAGCCTTTCATGTTCACTGCCCATCTCTTGCATAAAATAGTAAATCTTCTTGAATTTAAAGCTCGGCATTTAATAAAATTAACAATTTTCGCAGCTTGATTCAAAATGATATTCAGATTTTCGGGGATTGCTTTAGCTACTAAAGTTCCACGATGAATGGAGCAGTAAGTGCGACTTTCTTTATTTGAGAAATAACACGGGAATGAATAAAGAGTTCGTTAAAGCCCGAGCTCTTTCACTGCATACGCCAATGAATTTATTCCAAGGAATATCACTCTCAAACATAAAATTGTCAGTTACCTTGAAAATTTCATTTCGGTTGCTCTATCATGAATATATTCACAAAATACTCTTCGGCAATTCATTTATAAAGAGATTCACAAAATACTTTTCGGCAATCCATTTATCTTCTTCGAAACGTATGTAAACTAATACTTGAACAAAGTTCGTTTTATCAGTATTTTCATCCTAGTGAAATGCGAAATACTCACTGTGTTTTATTTTTTGAATAAGTGTCTATTTGCCATTCCATGAATTTCCATCGGCTTTTTGATAACGGAATATTATTAATTTCATTAGCCGCTTTTTCGTTGAATAATGTTAAAAGGATATCTTTAGTTGCTGGTACCGTATATACCCGCGTATAAGTCGACCCCCCACTTCGATATAAAAAATTCGTAGAAAATAAGAAACCCGCGTATAAGTCGACCCCCACCCCCACTTCCGAAATCGATCGAGAAACTTCAAAAAAAATTTAAGTACTACATTTAGTATTCAAATCATTGGAGAAAAAAAGTAAAATAGATAAAATCCCGTGGTAAAAAAAATCAAAATCCTTCAGTCCGATTCATAGTCATTCGCCCAACATTTCTAGAACTCTTCTGGCATCATTGGCTCGTCATCATCATCTCGATTGTAAAAATCTATCTGCATTTCCCTTTTTAAAAGGTAAAGAAATTCAAACGTTCAGTTACGCGGCTTTTTTTAAATATTGAGGGTACGCCCGTTAACAAAGTATTTATGAATGACATAACTATTATAAGACTTATACGTCGTAAAACTATCTGCATTTCTCTTTCTTGGCGTGTTGGCGAAACTTTTTTATTGCTCGATATTGATCGGTTGTTCGGGGGCCGAAAATCTTTGGTTAATCGAAACTTACTTTAGTTAAAGTATGAAACTCTGTGATTAGTTCGTCACATAATTGAAGTCATGAAATTACTTCAAGTAAGTGACTTACTTGATAAGTCGTCCAATTTGAGTGCGGGAAGAAAACAACTGCATTATATAAAGAAGTTTTTGAACTTTCCGATTCTTTTCATTTTTATGGCCCCGTTGTATAGTCGACGACCCCCACTTTGAAGTCTTTTTTTTTTTTTTTTTTTTTTTTTGTCCAAAATATCTCGACTTATACGCGGTATATACGGTAATTTTTTTTTTTAATAGTGTGAACCTGCCCAGTCTTGGCAATTTTTAGGCTAGCTAGGCAACTAGCTTCCCAAGCTTCTTCACTTGAAGTAACAAAATCTTTCATTATTTGTTTACTTTTTTTTAACTTCGATAAGTTACTCTTAAAATAGTCTGCAGATATATCCTCGAAATTGGCATGCTTAGATTTAAGATGTCTTTTAAGAAACAATGGTTTCATACTCTGTTTGGATAATAGTTCACCGCAAACATTACAATGAGGTTGAAAGTTCATTTCATCTCCATTCCATGTAAACCCAAATGATAAACAACTTTCATTATATTTTCTATAAATAATTTTTCTTTTTGGTGTTCATTTTTCCATTTTGAAACATCTAGGAGTGTTTTATTATTTTTTCACAAGTATTTAAATGCACAATATATTACGAGTTATTCAAAATCAAACGACGATATTCTCAAATCGCGTAGAAAGGTAAGAAACGCAAAGCAACAAGAAGACAAAATACCTACTGTAGAAAAACTAATTGACATTAGAGAAATATGAGCCCAGAAATTGTGGCGACTTAAAGTGTAGACATGCTAATAAGTCGATCAACTCTAAAAGAGTTAATGAGATATTATTATCTTTTTACAGGAACTTAACGCCTTTTAAAAACATTATCGATAACAAATTTTGTTATGTCTATGGCTAAAAGAATATTTGTGGAAATAAGAACGGATTATTTTGCTAAAGTCTCTAGGATGCTATTGACTTTAAACAAAGCTCAGATTGCATAAATTTACGAGTGTTAGAGATTAAACTTAAACTGAATGGTGAGCACTTTTCGTTAAATTCTTTTGACCTCTAACTTAATGGAGAAACCCTTCAGTTAACCGAACGTTCGTATTTTGATGTTGAGCGCCTCGACTGGACTGTCGCGCATTCTTACGCGCCGTCGCGGAACGGATTGCTCATCCCGCTGCAAGATGGCGCTAACTTCTGCCGCCCGGTAGAATCCCATCGATCTCTAGAAGATAAGTTTTCTCTCCGGAAGATGGGTTTATTGTTATTCTGTTATTATTTATTGATAAACTGAGACTTGCCTAATAATTTTCCGTACGTTATCTATTCGGAATGTTTTTGTGATATTTTCTTAATTTGTTTTGCCTTTCTGTTTCGATTTCTCGGCTTGTGTTTACAGGTGGATGGAAGACGCATGATAAAAACGCGGCGTACATCGATTAGAAGTAGTTTTAATTTGTTTCACTTTTACTTGTGTTTAATAGTGTGAATAAAAACTGTATAAAATAATTATTTCATTAAGAAACTGTTCAATCATTTGTCAGTTTTTTGTAAAACTGTTCAAAGTACGGAATGTATTAAAAAAAATAAATAAATCTTCTTATTTGACTCATTACCTAACCAACATTTTAATTTTTAATATGTTTTAGTAATTATATAAAAAGTATATTTTTATGGTTGTTATTAGTATTATATTTAGAATTGCATAATTGTTTTATATAATTTCTAAAACATGGCAACAGAAAGAACTTTCTTTAAGCTAATGAAATTATTATATGTTTTTAGTTTACTGTAATCTTATCAATATTTTAACTTTATGACACTTTTTCAGTAATAAAATTTTAAAAAAGTGCAGTGCTAATTGTTTGTTCTGGTATTATGTTTAAAGATTATGTTGATATGTTTAATAGTGTTTCATAATTTCCCAAACATGGCAGCAAATTCAAATTATAGTTTGATAAATACTTATTAAATAAATTGATTTAGACTTCAAACCTAAATCCGTTTTACTGTCTTGTAATAAAACATGTTTTCAAAAGTTTTCTGTGTCTGTATTTTTCTTATGAAACTGGAAACTAATAATTTCAAATTTCTTAATAAAATGTATTTACAATTAAAATATAAAAAAACAAGATTTTTTAAATATTTTTTTTCCTTCCAGGGAGAAAGATAGCTTTGGCAGAGTATGGATGTGATTTATATTCATAGAGAAGAATGCTCGTAAAGGAGTATCGAATCCCTCTGCCCCTCACAGTTGAGGAGTATCGAGTTGCCCAGCTGTATATGATAGCGGTTTGTATTTTTCATGCTTCAGAGTGTTATTTTCATTGATCACAAATTTAATCTGACAAGTATGTATTTTAATTTAAAATGTATAAATCATAGTTTGGTTATTAATATTTTCAATTTTATCTTATAGTATTTTATTTCGTATATATTGATACAAAAATGTTATCTTTCTGTTTGTTGCATTTAATTCTGTAACATACATTTCCACCAATATCATGCCAATTTCATCCGTCTCACTTGCCAGAATGAAGTGTATGTCTTTTTCCTCTGTATAATCCTGTATTCAAAATCTTTATAGAAAATGCATGTAACGCAATTTTATTTGAAATATCAGAAAGTATTAAGTAGTTATCTTCAAAATAACTTTCATCAGAGCAAATATACTTGTTCCAGTACTCCTACAATTCTTGGAAGCATTGGAAGACTGCTATTTTTTGGTGACTGTTAGACTGGCAATGAATTTATCTTGGATAGCTTTGATCATTAGAAAACATTGATCCCAGAGATCCATGCTGATAAGAGAGAACAAACACTGGTAGTTTGGTTCGAATCCCGCAAACCGGCTGGCTGCATGGTGCTCTGGAAATTTTCTCCATGTGTACGCGTATACGAACCAATTCCTCTTAGAAAGTCCTCCAGGAAGGCATCTCTTCCCTTAGGCAGATAGCTCTTGAGTGCTTTGTAATAATCAAATAAACCAAACCAAACCTGCGAAATCCTCTGACTAGCCAAAAGTAATAGGATAGGAGATCTGATGAGTGAGGTGGCATAATATGAATATGTGTTTGCTCTTACAATTCCTTAACTGACTTGGCAGTTAACTGGGATTTTTATTATGAAGAGTGATAGATGCTTTTACTTTTTTTGCACTGCAGTGGAACTGTGCTGCACCTCAGCCCAAGGTGATGTCACTCCACATTTTTCTGCTATGGTGAATATATTAATGCCTTCTGACAGCTGAATTTTTGCATGTTTTAGCATGCACCATGAATTTTTTTAACAAAGATCTGTAGAGTAATATCATATAAACATAATTTAACTTAATTCATTATGTATAAAGTTATCATATAGATTTTGTAATTTCAAAAGAAATGACTTGATAAAATCTTACTAAAATGAGAAATAGGAATTCCACAGAAAATTTCCATCAACTGTGTAAACTTGTTTAAAAAATACTTGTAAATGACCAGGTTCTGTACTCTTAAGCTTAGTACTCTTAAGAATACCAAAGTATAAAGCTCATCATTTAAAAATGCTCAATTATTTATAATGTAAATAAGGTTCAGGGTTATACACCAATTGCTGAAGAAAACAGCAGATTCAGAAACAAATTCAATATCATAATTCTAGATAGGGCTGTGAGGTTTGTATTTATATTTTTTTAATGTGATATGTTGATTGATCATTAAACTTATTTGTAACTTCAAATTCCTTTGTAGACTATTTTAATCTAGTTTTTAACATTTAATTTTTGTTTTTATTTTGTGGTCAATTAATATATTTTTTATAAATATTTAGTAAGATTTGTTTTATTTTGTTTTAACAATTAAAATATAAAAATAATAATATATAATGATATAGTGTAAGTAAAGATTTTGTTTATTTTGTATGTAGTATATTGCAACGTTAATTCACAGCTATTATTTTTGTAGAAAAAAAGCCGACAAGAAAGTAAAGGTGCTGGTAGCGGTGTTGAAATTCTTGTAAATGAACCATATTCTGATGGGCCTGGTGGCAGTGGGCAGTATACTCATAAAGTTTATCATGTTGGAAGTCATCTTCCAGGTATACCTCACATTTTAACTAGAAAGAGTTAAATCAAAGGCAAACATTCAAAAAGTTAATATGAGTGCATTTTGTTTTAGTTTCTCCCGGCTCATTCAAAACAAAATCCTTAATTAACATATTCAGCCATTCAGTTTTAATACATTAAGCTCCTTTATTTTTTTCCACATTGATTATAAATTTATTGTTCTGTTCTTCTGAAATTCTTACATTGTTGTTTAATTTTTCTGCATTGTGATTAAGACAAAATAAATTGAGTCAAAAAAATCTGAGGCAAAATTGTAAAATGAAAATTTTCAAGTTTTTAAACTGTTAAAATGCAAAAAGTACAGTACTGATTCTTTACCAAGCCTCTGTGTGATGACAGTGTGATTTTGGGCATAGAAAAAACAAGTACTTGTGTATTATCGCAACCACCTTGGTAGAAGTCTGCAAACTCTGGCAGCCATGTGGATAATAAGTCTTACAGTAACCATATCCATACGTTTGAATAAGCAATATCACCGTTTTCATATGTGCTATTTTGGTTATATTGGAAGCTCTAAAGGCAAATTGTTATTTTTTTGGTCTTGAGCTGAATTTTGAAATATGCGCTTGTGGGATTTTTCTGCAGATAAAGACAGATCTGCGAAATTTTTCCAGGAGTACAATGCTTTACCACAAATGTACTAATGTTCAGATTTACATTTGATGATGATGTTTTTTCTAAAACAATCTTTTTGGAAATGCAATGTGAAAGGTGTAATGAACACATCAGAATTTGAACTGATAATTAGCATTCAGCAATTGGTTCAAGATTAGTCATCTGCCATTTACTAAAACAGTCAGATTTGTATACTGCTGGAGTAAAGAATTAATAATTATTAAATTTTGCTTGGAAGAGTTAGTAGTGTCTGACAAGACTACTAACTCTATCAAGAATAATATATATATAACTTTCTACCAAGAATGCAGATCTTCCACAATCTATCTTAGATTGTGGAAGATCTGCATTCTTGGTAGAAAGTTCAAAGAACAAAAAGTGATTTTGAAGATCAAATCATTGAAACGGTTAAAAGTCTAATGATGAAAAGAAAACAAAATACTGTACATGTTTTACTGCCATAATGGGTTCTGGAAGGAATCTGCCAGGAAAGGACCGAAAATCTTTTAAGGTAGATCTTTTTTCCTAATAGAAGTGCAACTGTATTAATGCAGAAAATAAATAAAAATATTAAGGAACGAAATATTACCTATTAGGACTGTTAGTCTGGATTTAAAACTCAAGGACTAGAAGGAGCTGGATTTTTGCACAAAATGGTTAATCGTATGTATAATTTTCTTGGTCTGTGTTCTGGCTTATACAGTCAAAAGTCTTTAATCTGGACTCGTTGGGACTTCGGCGATTCCAGATTATTGGTTTTTCTGAATTATAGATCATCAGTTTAAATCTGGTAAGATGGAATGCAGAAATTATAAAATTAAAAATATGAAACAATACTTTATGAAATAAAGAGCAATTATGATCCAAAGGGTATCAAAATTTACAAAAAAAAAAAAAAAGCTTAATATTTATTTGTTTACTTTAATAAACATTTCTTTCAACACGCACATGCCTAAAGCATACATTACGCATAGTCGAAATTAGAAAATTGCAACCAGAAAACTATTTGATATGTATTCATGATATTTATAATGACAAGGAATTTGATTTAAATCATATCAAAGACCAAATACATCGAGATGAAATACTACATTTAGTAAGGAATTATAAGCTGAATAAAATAAAATAAAAACATCTGCTCTGAAGATAAGGATAGTGCTGACAGATCAACTTCCAGTTCACTGTGCGCCGCGACGCACCCCCCCCCCCGGCAGAGCGGCGTGAAATTGATAAACAGATTTCGGAATGGTTAGAAAAACAAAGAATATGCCTTTATCCATTTTTTTGCAGCAATTCCAATTTTTGTTTGATGGACATCGAAGCATGCTTTCGCTTTGTAGATCCTTTGACAGCTCCAGAATCCGAAATTCTTTTTGACATATTAAGGAACAATCAAGCTCACCTTTATAAAATTGCTCTAATGGTCTGCAAAAAATAATAAGCGGGATCCAATTAGAAGATTAAGGAACAACGCAATCTGCAACATTAACTGAAATAGATAATTAGATAATTTTAGCTTAGCTTATACCGTCTGTTATACATTAAATGCATATGCATAAAGGTATTATGCGCATGCGTAAACGCATTAATGTGTTTATGCATCCGCAGAAAGTTTGTAGCTTTGACATCCGGATTATAGATTGTTCCGGATTAAAAACTTCTGACTGTATACCAAAACATAGAAAGTATGTGGGAATCTGCAAAATTACATAACAAGAAGCACTGCAGTACAGTATGTCCGACCTGAAATATGTAGCAGAATTTATATCACATCAACAATAGGCTGCTAAAGGAAACAGTTGGTTTGAATCTATTCTTAAAGCAATCGCTACAAAATTTCCACTGGAAGAAAAGACATACAAACCTGTTTGTAAAAAGTTTTATTAGTTTTCAGGATAAATATCAAATTAAAACTGAAATATGTATCCAATAACATGCATGTATGAAATAAATAACTTTTTGTGATTTAGAGTATTCATACGTTTTCTTCTGTAAAAATCTGTGAACTGTATCAAAAATAGTTGCTCTAATACGTAAAGCGTAATACGTCTCCAAAGCCCTATGATATGCTTTTTGATTTTTCTAAAAAATATATTTTTGACCTGATTAAATAGCTCAGAAATATTAACAGAGATTTATTCTGGCATTATTATGTGTCACTTTTAGTCTACTTTTAAAAATGAGATATAAAGCCAGAAAATCTTTTCTAATTTTTTTGTGTAACAATATTTGTATATTCTGTGTAGTTTCATTTTAAATTGAGGATAACATCAAATTTAAACATATTTGAATTTAGGTTACATTCATTATTAAAAATAAAAAAATGGTAAAAAAGTTCAAAAATACTAAATTTCAGTGTTTCCTTTTGAAGCATTTAATTTTTAAATGCAGATCGTTATATATGAAAATTTTATTACTTTTATGTTTCCTAATAACATTTGTTATTTCATTTGAAAAGTATAATGTGTTAAGGTGTTTGTTTTTATTTCCGAAATAAATATTTGCTATTAAGAATGTATTTATGTTCAGATTTGTACATTTATTAATCAAAATTACTCATGGGGGGGGAAACCTTGATCATATTGGTATAGGAGCAGCCTCACATTCATGATAAGTTCATCTGAGTTTAATTACACATTACTCTAATTCTTCAAATTAATATTCTGAAAGATTAATCATGAAAATGAACTCTGCCTAATATTGTGTTCTAATTTTCATTTCCAAAAATTTTGTACCATTCTTTAATTTCTGTAATTGGTCATTTTATGTTTTGTAAATGTAAATTTATGTTGAGTACTATAAAATAATATACATCATCAGTATATTACTTTTATAAATACTGATAAAATTTATCGAATTTTATCAGTATTTGTAAAATTATAATATTATTTTATAAATATAAAGTGTTACAATATGTCATGTTTCTTGAATATGATAAATATTTAAAAACAGAATAATTTCTCAAATTTTTTATATTAGTAATATTAAATATATATTATGTATGAGCTGTAGTGAATAAGGGTATTCCATTATGCACCTGCCATGCTTTCTGGCACATATGAAAGAAGAAGCACCACTTAACACACTAAGACTCAATGATGAAGCCTGATGCAAAACTTTATCTCCATCTAGCGTGGTTTTGTATACTTCGGTGGCTCAAGTAATTTAAATGCAACTTCGTCTCAGGTGCAGAAAATTAAATCATGTCACACTTTACAACAAGACTGTCAACAACAAGACTGAGATAAATTTGATAAATATGTTTATTGAAATAGTTACAACTCAAACTAACTTAGTTTAAATTTTAAAAATAACCTTTCAGAACCTCTCTTTGCACCATTTTCCTCAGTAAGTAAACATAAAAGAACATAATCACAAGGAACTGAAATAACTCTTGCATTCAAGGCAAAAACTTGTCAGCGATGTAGCACTGTCTTTTTTAAACAATTTGAAAAGCACCATAATGCTAAGCATCTGAATAAGTTTACTAGGTGCAACTATACTGAGATGCTTAGATATGACATATTTTGTAAATTATGTCCATTGTTGTTCTTGCACTAATTCTTAAGCCACCCTGAGTTTCTTTATGGAATATAATAGTAATTTCCATTATGGAGAGTTTTTTTAATTGAATGGGTTATATACTACAACTGTGAAACTTCCTTTTTAAAGTGGCCACAATGCTTTATTTTAGCTATGCTAATATTGGCAAAATTAATTTCCCAACCTGTAATATGCAAACTTCAAATATTGCCAAAGGATTATGCAGTGGCAGCTTTAAATACAAAGTAATTTTTTACCTCCACTTATGAATTTATTCCACAGTGTATTTATACTGGTTATTATCCTTATTAGTTGGGGATGTGTAGATCTTAAGGTCCTGTGTTTACTTCTTGAAATAATCCTTTTATAATTTTAAACTGTTTAGAAAATCCTATGCTTTCCATTATTTTTAAACCAATCTAGGACTACCATTAGACAAGTGACTAACATTGCTGAAAACTTATAGTTTGACCTGGGCTTGAAGATATGCCTTTTTTTTTTTTTTTTTTTTTAAGTCCTTCATGAAGACATCTTATCAGTAGAATTTAGCCATATAATAATCTGTAGTAGCAATATACTATTATTATTCTAGTCAAACATACAAGGAATAAGTACAGTTTCCACATATAAAACCTGTCTTTTCTTTTTTATAGCAATTCTAGATCAGATTACAAACTCCTATTAGTTTCATATACCTTACTAATCATGCTATTATCCCACGTGTTACTTACTATGCAAATTTCATGTCATACCTTCTTCATGGTGTTATAATTGTGTTGTTGTTACTTAACTCACTTGTCTGGCAGTAACATCAACACAAGCCCATGAAATTCCTCATGGCAAGGAACATAAGATATGCCTGTCGTTGGCAATAGCCTTCAGTACCTTACAACTGTCAGTGCGATTTAACTCAGTTCCACCCCAGTTTTGATAGAGAGCACCCCAGGGTAATGGGTTCGAGGGTCTCCCACCCCTCTCCCCTTCCACCAAACCACATGAGAGGATTTTTGACTTACCACCCATTTAGAGTGCTGCCATGCTGCACCGACACTATACATTTACAAACATCCATGCCTTCTCCGGGATTCGAACCTGTGCCCTTTGGCATGGCAGTTGGCGATACTAGCCAGTATAGCAGTTGGGCGGCTGTATTGGTGGTTATAATTGTAATAATTGTATTCAGAAGCAGTACCCACTTATTATTGTGGATTTTAAGTTATCATAAAAAATAATTACAACTAATTTAGTTATCTTTAAAATAAAAATGCATGTGTATTTAAAAGAGGGAAGCAAACTCATATAATTATTTATATATGATAGGGTAATTTAACATATGTCTAAAAAACAGGGCTTAGAAGATTTTGAATTAATGAATAAATATATTGATTAATAATCTAGTTAAGTTGAATTCATGCTTGGAATTAATGAAGGGCATTTTTATTAGGATGGTTCAAAGCTCTGTTGCCAAAATCTGCTTTGACAGTAGAGGAGGAAGCATGGAATGCCTATCCATATACAAAAACAAGATATACGTCCCCATTTGTAGAAAAATTCTTTTTAGAAATAGAAACAAAATATTTTGGAGATGCAGGTCAACAAGAAAATGTCTTCAATCTAACTGGCAGTGATTTGAGGAATCGTATTGTTGGTAAATTATTCTTTTCTTCTCAATGATTTTTTTGTTATGTATGATTACTAAAAGTTATTGGTAAAAATATTACAGTGCAAGTTTTTATAAACAACTTTTTATGTAAAGAAATATTAATAGTAAGCTATAATCAAAACATTTCTGTTCAAACACTTATGTCACAATAGGTTTCACTTGTTTTGTAGGAACTACTGTGGGTTTAAGACAGTTGTTTCACTGATGATGCCAAAGTAAATTTGCCTTTTGGGTAGAAGTACTTAGGTGTTTGTTGCATAAAATTGTATAATATAAGCTTTATAATCATTATCTCATTGTGATTACAGCCGAAAACATCACGGAGAAAACAGTGCAAGGCAAAAACATCATGGGTGGAAAAAAAGCAAAGAGAAAACATCACAGTTCTAAAGTATTGTGGTGCAAAATAATCGTCGTTGAAAATAAAGTGGTTGAAATGCTTCAGAGTTTAAAAACATCGCCGTCAAAAATATCGTAAAAAATAAAGCACCTACAAATCATCGCACATATGCATTTTTCAGGTTTCAAAACTTGTAAATGGATATTCGCTTAAAGATTTGGAAGCACAAGAAATGTTAACGACACTTTAAGAATAAACGGAAACAAAACAAGATTTAATTTTCACCAAAACAATATCAGATTAACAAACGTGAAAGAAAGTAATTTGATAAGTGACTAAGCAACTTTTACAGAGGTAACCTCATGCAGTTATTTATTTTCTTTTTTTCTAAACATTTTTAGGCTGTTTTTCATGAAAAATTATGAGTAAAACATTCTAAAAAATATTAATTTATTAATGACCTTGGTTAATTAACTGTAAATTTAAAATACAATTAAGGTCTATAAGTTGCATTAATTTTCTATTCATTTTCAATTTTTAAATGCCTAAGTTTTCTTCTTACCTTTTCTGTAAAAATTTATTTTAGTTTATTGAAAAATATGAAACATAAAAGTAAAAATATCCTTCTTTGCTTCTTGCGCTCCCAAATCATTACGCGAAAATGCATTTACAGCTTTTAGAACCTGAAAAGCACATGTGTGCGACGTTATGGTCATGCGATGATTTGTATATTCTTTATTTTTTACCAGGATATTTTTGACGACGATATTTTTAAACTGCAAAGTTTTTAACCGTTTTATTTTTCGCTTCATTTTTTTAACCGCTTTATTTTTCATTTTTATTTCCATTATTTATGATGTTTTCTCTTTGCTTTCTTTTCTTCCACGATGTTTTTTATCACAACGTTTTTGCTGTGCGTTGTTTTCTTTGTGAAGTTTTCATCCACGATGTTTTCGAGGGACACCTCTGATCGGAACTGCTATCATATAAAGGATTTTTTTTTTAGTTGACTATAAGGGGAAAAAAATCAAATATTGAGAGACTTCTCATTTAGGAATATCCTGTTTCTATTTCATGATCTTGACAACATAAGGAAATGCAACATCATGCAATAGGATGACATCATTCTAGGGGTTACTAAGACAGTTCGTTCTATCACTAGACAAAACTGCTCATACAAATCATAGTACTTAATGTAATATGACAACAGTGGTTCCACTATGGATTCATTTAGAAGTATTAATGCTATTAGTATGTATACCAAGTGTTACACAAACAATTTTAAATACAGCAAATACTTTACTAATCATGGGGCTGGACCTTAACATTTTTTATCTTGGACACTTCATGTAACTTCAGTAAAAGTACTTCAGTGTTGAAAGGAGACATTTTGATCAGTCCATATTTTGTGTATTTATAGTTTTATTGAAATGACAGTGTGAATGACAGAGTTCTTTGTCAGTATGCTTTGGTTTTTATTTTCATACTGCATTTCATTGGGTGCGGAATCAATAAAAATCCATTACAGGGTGAATCAGTTGTTTTTAATTGATTTAATTTGCAGATATTGTATTTTACAAAGTATCTTAATGTAATAGATGGCATATTTTGAGGATAGAAAAAAGCAGTAGTTTAAATTTGAAAAATCTTGTTACAGTCATATTTAGTATTTAAAATATCTTACATATATTACATATAGTTTCTCATAAAATTTCTATCCCATAGAAGTAGGAGCAGTTTAAGAGAATTGGACAATTCATTCTATGCCATTAACCCCTTCCGGTAAAATGACAAGTCTAGCTCGTCATTGGTTTTTCATGCCATATCGCACAATGACGAGCTACACTCGTCATACATACTGTTGAATATGATAATTGAGTTAGTTTAAAATTTATAGTGTACTGAATTTGGCAACACCTTTTTTACTTGTGGAAATATCACAGATCCTATCACATGTTGTTTACCATAGAATTTCTTGGATACAAGTCACGGCCTGAATTGTTGTTTAGTCTGTAAGATTTCATTCTTGTAAAAATTTAGTGTGAGCATCGGTCAATATATATTTCTGTAAAGGAAAAATGGTACTTTTCCGTTTGGCTGGCGCAAATTTCCATTTCGCTGGCACAAGCGATAAAGTCGCGGAGTGTTGAGTTTCATGAAGTGTGTAAGATTTATTTATGGTTGGTGTGAAGAATTAACTTCAGTTAAATGGTATGAAAAGTTCTTTCAATATTGTTCCAAAATTCAATATTTAAATATTTTTTATTTATGCATTCAAAATAAAAAAACATCTTAGAACTAACATTTGCTAACATTTTTTATGTGTATACTGTGTGTTGTCGCCAATAAAGCAATAAAGTCTGCTTGGCGAGATTTGCGCCGGCGAAACGGAAAAATACCGGAAAAACGTGTTGTATAGTAAATACCATAATGGATAAGAGTTTTGCAGACTATGAAGGTCAAGGTGATTGGAGCGATTATGAAGAATCAGAAGAAATAAGTGTACACTTACCTGATACTGATAATGAAGATAATGATAGTGAAATATTACCAAGAAAGCGAAAACGTGTTAGGCGACTAATAAGTGATGATGATAGTGAACCTTCTGGAATCGCAGACACATCATCGGAAGAATGGTGTTGGAAGGAAATAGATAATGTGCCTGAAGTAAAAAAATTTACATTAATACCTGGTGTAAACCCTCTGATTATGCAAAAACTAGGTGCTAATCCAAAGCCATTAGAGGTTTTTGAAGAAGTATTGAATGTGAACTTTTGGGAAATACTATCAATAGAAACTAACAGGTATGCAGAACAAGTAATAAAGAAAGAACATTGTCCAAGCAAGAAAATAGATGTAGAATGGTTTCCTGTAACTGTCAGCGAAATGAAAGCCTATTTCGCGCTATGCATTATTATGTCGCAAATAAAAAAATCAGATTTAAAAATGTACTGGTCGAAAAGGCCAATAGTACATATGCCAATATTTTCACAGACTATGTCTCTCAGAAGGTTCTTAGCTATATCATGCTTCCTGCATTTTGCAGATAATGAAAAAGCGGACGACAACGATAAATTGAAGAAGATTCGGAATATTGTAAATTATTTATTTTTCATTATTAAATCGTACCGGAAGGGGTTAAGTCTCTTGCTGCATCTCTTTTTTTATTTAGTAGAACTTGATGCAATTTGGTTAAATTTACTTTTGCTGTATTTGTATTATCTTAAAGATTATATGATAATTCTAGTTATTCCAAGCTTTATTAGTAAAAGAATCATATTTAAAATGGAATCATAAGGAATAAACTATCTAAACCAGTGACAAAAGCAAGCATATTTCTTGGTGTCTAATGGCTTTAATGCTTGCATAATCATAATTTTATCTACTCATAATTTCAATTTCAATTGCTTATTAGATAAACATGTTCAAAGGTAAAAAGCTGCTGAGAAAGCCAGAAAAGTCATTTGCATTGTTGCCGTAATAAATGTTCTTTAATATTTTTGTGAGCTACCGGTTCATTAATGTCAAAATAATCATTCCAGATAAGTAGGAAGACATTGATAATTTATTATAAAAATTCAAAATGTACAGTAAATGGTTGGAAATAGCTCAAGGAAAATGCAGAAATAAGCAATTATCTTTTAAGGCATGTGAAATATCCCTAAATCATTCATAGAATAAACTGTAAATCACAACTCAACTAACTGTCTTTTAACCACTAAATCTCGCACTTGATTTATTAACTATTCATGTTAGTTCTTTCAGTCATGTTTGTATAGTGTAACAGGATGTAGAATGATCTTCTGGAAACATCGTGAAAAATCAGTGAGGATTTTTCGGTAAAAGCAACAAACAGATAAAATAACAAAAGAATTTAAATTTTTTACACAAATTTGCAGCATCACTCATCCATTCTTTAAGGACTGCATGCTCTTCAGTTGCTGAGCAGTAGAGTCACTGACCATTCATAGTTCGATTTCAGACAAATGGGCTGGTTGCATGGGCGTTTCTCTATTTTTTCGTACGTTTAACATGGATATGAGCCAGTTTCCCTTAAAAAGTCTTCCATGAAAGAATTCCTTCCATTATGAAGACAGCCCTAGTGTGTTTTGCCATAATAATATAAACTAAACTAAACCTAGAAGAAGTGTATATCTTGGACAATACAGTTCCCAAGATGGATTATTCCTTAATGGCATATTCTGGAAACTCAAATTTGGAATTTGTTTTATTTCATATTTTTAAAACTTTAACAAATTTTTGATTAACAAACTCAATGATTTCAAAGCGAATACTGGAAACACTGTACAAAAACAAAAAGTATTATTATTTCCAGCATGCAAGGCTGTGTATCGAAAATTCTAAAGGTATGCTCTTTTTAAATATTTTGTGATGTTGCTATTCAGTTGAATTTTATGGTTTAGTGCAAAGAACGTGATATTTAATGAATAAAGGTAACGCACAAAACATTGAGGGGGGGGGGAACTTCTTTCAGAGTAATATAAAATCTGAAAGCTTTCAGATTTATTATTATTTATTTATTTTTAATTCTGCTGTCAGTGCCTGTCCTTAATTCTTATGTTTTGACATTTCTAGATTTTTGTTGCTCGGCTTGACACTAAATTCTAAAAATTCTGCCACACTG